TACGAGAGTTCTGATAATGTCTTGGACGCTGTGAGCCTCGCCAAGACTGACCATGGGAGTTACGAGGTGGAGATGTCCTTTGCCTAGCTCTACAATCCGCAGTGTGGTGACCAACTTGTTTATGGTACGTGCAATATGGAAGCCTAGAATGATTAGATTGATGAGGGGGCCGAGAGAATTGTCTAGGAGGTGATGATCTAGGGGCGGACCAACAGTCCCTTGCAAGGTGGTTACTCTTACCACAATGCCAACATGAGGGAGTGGATGGTTGTGGACTATGGCGTTTCGGCATTTTATGAGGCGGCGAATTTGACTGGGGGCTACGAGCATGGGTACGCTTCTGCGACCAAGAGTTTTGAGAATTTGTGGGAGGATGCTGAGAACTTGTAACTACATTTACAGCATCAGAGGGTGGCAACAGTTGAGCACTTCGGGGAGCTAGTTTATCGGCGGCATTGTTAATAGCCTCAAACACTTCACCAATTTCATGTTTAACACCAAAATTTTGTTGCTCAACGATTGGTTTTGTATGCTCGGGGGCAAAATGCATTAAAGTACCAAATGCTATCATTTTGGCCATAGCCTCAGGGGACAGATTATTGTCTTTATCTAACCAAGTTGAATTATTCATAGCAGAAACTAAGGCATACAGATACTGATCGAGACGGCTAGTAAATGCATTAAATGATTCACCAGGCTGCATGGTGGCATTGGCAATTTTCTTGACTAACCTATATGGGTCAAGGTCTCCTTTATTAACAAAGCGACGGCGAAAGAAATCCTTAAATTCAGGCCAAGACTGGAGGCTAACAATGGCTTTCTCATCAACAACAAAACGTGCATCACCTTTGGTTGTGTCCACGGCTGACCGTGCAATTGCTAAGTATTCGGCATCAGTAGGCTTAGAAAAACGTGCAACTGTTTTCGCTTCAACCTTACTAAACCATGATTCTAATAAACGCGATTCCCCAGCAAAAAGAGGAATAGCCATTTCCTGAGCTGATCTCTGGCCATTGGGACGAGCAACTGTTCCCATTGATTCTGAAGGGGTTTCAACAGTGGTAGGCATTGTCACAGCCGTGGAAGTAATATTTGAACGCAGATTATAATTAAGTGCACCTGGCATCAGAAATAGTATACACAAAAATAAACACAAAAAATATCAACTTGGCTAAAGTAAAAATGGCAGAAATAAAATTATTAAATTGGGCTAGGCAAGAAAATAATCAAGAACAAGCAATTGTAAACTAAATTTAGCAATCTTTCATTAAAAAAATGACTGGAATTAGATGTATGTAAATTAATTAAACCAGACTAAGCACAGCAATTTAGAATAAAAACTGGGAAATGCAATTGCAAAATTTCATTAAAAAGATTCAACACAACAAGTGGCAATGCAAGAAATATGGATGTAGCACATAAACTGGACACAGGAATGTATATAACTCCTATGGTAAAAGTTTAAAATAAAATGCTTAAAGGATAAATTTCAAGTTAGGTCTGGAGAAATTAAAAAAAATTATATTGCACAAATCCTTAACTGCTACTAAAACAAGGATTTCTTAATTCACTGGAATTTGAATTTACCAATAACACTCTAGGAGAACAATTAAAATTCAATGAAATTACTGTAAGAAGCAGGAATGTTGAAATCACACAGGAAACTGTGGGGAGTGCAGTACTGAACCAGCTCCAATATTTAACAAGTCACTGAATGGTTAATTCACAGGATATTATGGGAATTATTACATAAGTCACTTTTTAACACTTGGCACGTTGTTCTCAACTAGCAATTACTTATCTCAGGGTTGTAATTTATGAGGATCACCAGTAGCCAAAGTAGGAGAAGCGTCGTGAAGATCTGAAGAGGCCCATGTGAGGCGTGTTTACAAACTGGATGCGACGGCAGCGCTCCTGGCGGCGGTGGCGCGAGACTCAGGGACCCCACACTGTTCAGGCTAGAGGCACGAAGATAAATTCTGACGACGACAATATTGCGACGATGGAATAACCAGTTGATACTTGCGACGATGGCTGACGACGATTGCAGTAGCTTGCACCCTCACGAAGCTTGATACTGTCAGCTTGGGTGGCGGTGGTGGTGGTGGTTGCACTAGGTGGTTCCCACGTGGTGGCGCGAGGTTCAAAAATGGCTGGCGCGGGAAGCTTCCTTCCTCCTCACTGATGAGTGAGCGTTCTCACAGGAAAATATTGACCCTTACTTCTGAAACGTTGGCCTGGAGTAGTGGTTGATGGCAGGACCCCGGTCTGGCACAATATTTGATGCGTGGGTGGCAGGATGGCGGCTTATGGCGGTGGCGGTGGCGGCGGTTTTGGCTGGAACACGAGGCGATGCTGGGTACTGGAACTTTTGCTTCCAGAAAAAAATTTCTGGATCCCACTGCTGCTACCAGTATTCGTTTGCCTTGTTCGGGTAGAATGTAGACTCAGTAGTCGCTTCTGTATATATTTATTGACTGAGATAGCAAGGTAAATATCTGCCTAGCCGAGGTCCTTCTACTCTGAGTCTGTGAGGATAACTGAGGCTGCTGGGAGCATGCTTGATGCTCCTCTGTCTGGCATGACGTCAGAGGCCTACTTGCCTGTGATTGGTTACATTTCAACTGACAGAATTTGAGTATAACACATAGAGCAAAACAAGAGATCATTCGTAAACATGAAAATGGTACATGGGTTGTTGAACTAGCTTTAACCCTCAAACCGCGCATATCATATATAAATGATATCAGTGACAAAACCGAAACCGCGCACATCATTTATATATGATTTCGTGTCTAGCGCTATAATTTAAACGCCCCGCCTGGGATAGGAGCAGCTATAGTACAGCCACGACCGATAGTTGCCAGATGCCACCTAGAAAAAAAATCCAGGCCAACATTCTTGGGTGTTACAGCGTCAGTATTGAGCAAGCCACCAAGGCTGGCGCACGTAGCACGAGCTCACAACACCGCTGTTCAGCTTGTGACCACAGCCTCGCCTACAAATACCATAATATAAATGATACTGCTATTATTTAGCAGTGATAGTATTACTGAAGCCCCCTGACTGTGATAAAACTGACCAGGATTCTGATAATAGCAGGATTGTGGTGATATTTAGCACTGTACTGTGCTCCATGGAGGAAGGAGTAAGGCTGTGGGAGGGAGGGTTGTGGTGTCGTTTTCTGACTGTGTGTGGCCACCATTTATTGACTGCACTCACCATACCAGCTTAGTGGTTCGATATGGTGAACACAAATGTAGATACTTATATATAACGTGTGTATAGTGTGAGATAACAGCGAGAGGAGTAGGTTGGGAGCCACCATTTTGGTGAGGGAGGAGTGACTGCCATGACTTGGCATGTTGTTTACTGATGGCCACTATGGTCATTGGGCACCATACCTGCTTATTTGTTCAGGTATGGTGAATAAAACAGGTAGATACTTATATATAATGTGTGTATATAGCATAATAAATTCCACAAACAATATTGTTGGAGGACAAATATTAGTGCGTCTGGCCTTGAGAGCGGCCGCCGATCAGCTGACTGTGTGAGTAGCTACGTCTTTGTGGCCTTTACTCACCATACAAGCTTAGATGTACAGTTATGGTGAACAAAACATGTAAATACGTATATATAACGTCTGTGTATAGTGAATAAATACAGAAAGAGTATTGTGGGAGGTGAATGAGGGTGAGTGAGGTGGTGTTGAGGGAGGGAGTGGCAGTGAGTGGCTCGCCGGTGTTTGGCAGTCACTCCTCGTTGCTTTTTGACTCAAAAGATCAACTTAGTAGTGCGTTATGGTGTACAAAACATGCAAATACTTATATATAACCTGTGTATATAGTGTAACAACAGCAAAACTATTTGTTTATTGTTTTATGAACATAATAATTGAATCACTAATATGCACACCATAATTTTGAGTACAGCGATGGTTCACACATTTTATAATATAAATATACCACAATTCACTGTATGGAATAATATTACTGCAAAAAACTAAGAAAAAATCAGAGTCATTGAAATAATTAGGTAATAATATATTTGTGGCAACTGCCGTCTGACAGCTCGGGCGGAGTAGACCTCGTCTGGCGAAGGCTCTGCCAACGCCCCTTTTTTGCCACACTTCCCTACCCTATTGCAGCTAAAATATGCCACCTACGATTTTTGTTATTTTTTCCGTGATCAGGGAACAAAAATGAACACTTCTATAAGAGGAAAGAATTTTTTGGATTTTTTTTTGGTTGCGCCTGTGGGTGTGAATTCCATTTGGGCCCCTAGCGGTTTGAGGGTTAAGTCAGTATGATTATATAGCATTTGAAATGGATAGGAGGACAAGGATCTGTGAGATGATAGAGGGAAGGACTGGTGCCCAATCAACTGGAACATTAGGGATCAAGCAACAACCTGCAAGTAACGAGGCTGTCGCTGTACCGACCAGTCCAAGTGGTTGGGTCAGGCCAGAAATCACTAGGAGAATCCCATCTTTAAAAATATCATAAGTCATTCATTATGACTAACTGTAGGTGAACCAAAGAGCACTGACAATGAAATAAATAAGACAAGAGTTAAGCATTTTTTATATAATTTTTTTCAAAATTATACATGTAATAAAATATAGTACTGTACTGTAATAAGCTACTCCTTATTTGGGTTATTCTCAATTAGTAAACACGAGGAACCTGGTTGGCTCTTGAATTCACATTTTAATTGCTTCATTTGTTATGACCATAAGCAAGGTTTTCTTACCACAAATGTGGCCAAACATTTATACAATACTAACCAGCACATGCATACAGCAAGTCACAATAAAGTGGGTAAAAATTAGACACCTAATCCACACATCTGAAAATAATGAAAGTGATGAGGTTTTGATTCATCCAGTCTGAAACCATCGTCACTTCCTATATTTTCAGCTGTATGGGGCTGGGTGCCTACTTTTAGCTACATCCACAAACCTGCCAATATCACATCAGTACTGTACATTAACAGACCTGCCAATGTTTTGCCAGTGGAGGTAGGCGGTGAAGTCGAGCAAGAGAGCACTGGGTAACCAGGGTCAAACCATGAGTGCTTGGTGCAGTGTCCTCATCTCTACCATTTAATCTCTCGTCTTGGCTGACTTCTGCCCCAGATCCTCGTAGGACACCAACCGATACTCGGAACTCCCCAGAACCATCTAGGACACTCCAGTGAGCAATTTGAGCTAATATTGCCTGGTGGTCATCTGAAAACTGTAGTTAAATGGTAATTCTCAATGTAATGATTTGATATATTTTCATAAGTAGACAGAGGGAAAAGAGAAAGATAGATGCAAGTTAGCAGCAGCCCAGCATAAAGAGAAGAGAGATGCTAGGTAGGAGCTTACCAACCAAGAGGGAGGGGAGAGAAAGATGCTGCATATCAGCATACCAAACAAGATGGACAGACAGATAAATTTGCAAGGTAACAACAGAGAAACAGAGGAAACAAGGAATACAACAACAAAAAAAAATTACAGGTAGTATTGTCCGAGAATAAAGAATTTATGCAGAAGACATAAGTATCAAGGCCATTTTCCAAAGACAGAGCAACCTTCAGTCACTTACCCAACCATTTGGGCTGGTCATAACGGTGATGACTTCACTTCTTGCAGGTGCCATTCGATCGCTGCCAGCCCAAGTGGTTGGGCACCGTTCCTTTTCTCTGTCATATGCCAGCGCCTTGTCCTCATATCCCTTCTATGGACTTCATAGTCATACTGGCTAGGCATTTTCTACACAAAATTACCGTACCTTCATTGTCTGCTGACCACTCTTTCACTGACTCCTTGTATATTCAGGAATCATCATTTCCACTCTTTGTAACAGTGTTCCTTAGATACTGTACAGTATTTCTAATTCTAAATATTTTGTATTGTTAAAAACACACACATCCTGCTAGCAAGGAATAAGGATGCAACAGTGACAGAAGGACAACCATTTATATCTTGCATATCAAGATGTAGGACTTTAATTAGATAAGCTGTTTAATGGTTAATAATTTCCCCAGAATTGAATAATCCAGAGCCCTTAATAGTCTCTCCAGAACTGAACCATAAAAAGCCCTTAATAGTGTCTCTAAAACTGAATAATAAAACAGCCTTTAATAGTGTCCCCAGAAATTAACAATACAGAACCCTTTACAGCCATCTCACAACTGAATAAAGAACCCTTAATGGCCACTCCAGAACCGAGCGCAATACCTTCTGCCCAAGATGATAGTTCCGCCTGCGGAACACAGAATGCTGACCCTTGAGCCCAGCCTTCAATCCGGAGCCTGAGTTCGCCTCCCCAGCTGCTGCTCCTGCTGCAGCCAACTGCTTCTGCTTGAGCTGCCGTGTGAGAACGACATTGGTCACCTGCAAACGCAATGGAGCTAACTTTTGCGTTTATATACCTGTACCATTACGTATGTACAAGTACATAATTAATTTGCATACACTACAGTATATATTCTGTATGGAGGGCAAATGCAATAGCTAATTGTATAAAATGATATGTTGAACTAGGTTTCTTTATGTATGCCATGTTCACATTATATATATTAATTGGACTAAAAACAAATAATGCAAGTTAAATTACAACTATTTGAACTTCAAATCCCATGAAAAAATATGTTTTTAAACAACCTGGTCAAGCTATGGTGTAATAAGATATGCATTACAGTGACTGCTATGAATAAAACAAATTTTAAATAGAAGGATTTATAATCTTCACAGCTTACAGGTACATTTTTATAATGTAAGCTCAGTTTAATTTGGACTATGTATATGTATTCATCTGTCAAACATATGCATCTACATACATCTAATCCAGTGTATCTTTATACATCTGATCAAGTTTATGTACCTTTCTATATCTGATCCAGCATTACATCTGATCCCATGTATGTATCTTACTGTATTTTACTGCAGATATGATGCATTGATAAAGAACGCATCCTATCCAAAGAACGGGAAAGAACACAGTAATAGGGAAGCAATGTTTTAAATTCCCTTTCAATAAATGTATAGTAAAGCATATTTAACACTTTTTTTCTAAAAAATATCCTTGTAAAATACGGGTACATCTAATGTGCAGGTGCAAATTATATGCCAAAAGGCATGGCATATGATCACTAGCTGGTGAAGCAAGGGAGCGGTTGTGTGAAGAAATTACAATATTTTATCGTGTCTTATAAACTATTTATACCAAATGTGATGCATAAAATCACACCTGCAACAAACTTGCAATGACTGCTAAAATGGCCACAGAGCGCCATGACACAATACTCGAAAGACACCTTGGAAACATCCCCGTGAACGATACATCTGACACCAATTCATGCCGCGGTCAGGAGTTTGAGTCGCCTATGTCAGTCATCGTCTGTAGAATAGGAATAAATATTAAAATTATTTTATGATCTTAATACAATCATTATAAAGGATATGTACAATAATACTATGAGAGTGGTTAATGATACAACATGAATTTAGTATAAAGCAGTAAGAATATTTCTGAAAAGTTGTAAGCAGAAGATGATGGAACCGAGGATTACAAATACTGTACCTGTACAGTAAGGTGGACCCCCGGTTTATGAATGACCCAAAACTGTAAAGTTTTGCTGAAAAAGCCTCACTCAGATAAAGCTGTAGCAGGCCGTTGCATTAGTCTTTTTAATGACAATGTGATGTCTCACTACAAGCAAGTGCTAAAACATAAGGAAAAACAAGTGTCTATAGACTGATAGACACTTTTTAGTAAGACAAGCAAGCAGTGAGCCACAACCAGGTACTAGTGGTATGTCTGCAAAATGTTGGAGAGAAAATACTCAGATATATCATCACTGCTTGATGTTATTATGGAAGGGGATTCCCCTTCCAAACACTAACACCTCTCCTTCCCCCCCCCCCTCTCCTCACTGTTTTCCATACGCCAACAAGAGTCCTCAATAAAGGTAAGATACTGTAAAAAAAAATGAGTAGTATTCTGTATAAAATATATTTGTAAGTTAATATTTTTGGGTGTGTGGAACGAATTAATTCAATTTACATTATTACTTTTGGGAAAATTTGTTTCGGTGTGTGAACCGTCTCTTGGAATGGATTAAATTCGTAAACCAAGGTGCCACTGTATAGCACAACCTCGATTCAATGAACTAATTGGGACCCATCCCAATTCATTACAACTGGAAATGCCTCCAGGATGCATTTCCCACACCTTGCAGACTAATTTCACTTAGCAAAATTTTAGTTTCAACCTATAATATAATAGACACCTACCAAATGAACATGTCTGCAAAAAAATTTAACCACATCTAGCTCATTTGTCATGTCCCCAGCCTCAAAACTCATTTTCAAAATGTGGCATGTCCATACCTGAGTGAACAGAAACTTTGCCAGGTCTCACACGGTAACTCCCAAACACACCGGAGAAGGGAACTCTGGCTGTGCAAGGGAAGCATTAACAGGCACACAGAGAAGAAAACCCTGAGTGCATGCAGCTCGAAACACCCAATTAGCCAAGCCAACACAATAAGCTGGAACAAAAACATACATGTGAATCCTACACTAAAATATGAAACAATACACTAGGATAATCAAGTCCAAGGATTGTCAGCAAAGGGTCATCCTAAATGGAAATAAATCTGACTGGAGAAATGTGGTGAATGGAGTACAGCAAGGTTCCATTTTGGAGGCAAACCCTTTTTGTCATATACATAAATGACACAGATGAGAATATTACAAACACATCATCAAATTTGCAGATGATACAAAGATTTATGATAAACTAGGAAGTGAAAATGATATCGAGACCTTACAAAGAGATCTACAGTATATGAATTCTACATATGGTCAGAAGACAGGTAAATGCTTTTTATTATTGAAAAATGCAAGACCTTGCATATGATGTGCATAACAATGCACATCAAAGCCCCCAAATTAACATTATCTTGCAGCAGATTGATGAAGAAAAGGACCTTGGAGTCAGAATCCACCAATCACTGAAAGTTGTACAAGTGGGAGCTGCAGTAAAAAAAAAAAAAATCTTAGGAATAGTCAAATGAACTTTTGATTTGAAGGGAAAAGATGGTAATTATTCAGCTATATACATCTCTGGTGTTCCTCCATTTTGACTATTGCATTGAAGCCTGGAGAACTCATCTTCAGAAGGCCATATCTACTTTGGAGGGTACTGAAGATCTAGCAACAAAAATGATCCCAGAACTAAGTTATCATACCAGGAATGGCTGAGGGCCATAAGGCTAACAATGTAAATGAGACACGACAGCATGGCTGGACAGTGCTTCAGATTCGTAATCCTGAGGTCCTGGGTTCGATCTCCAGTGGAGGCGGAGACAAATGGTCAAAATATTTCTTTCACCTTCGTGCCCCTGTTACCTAGCAGTCAATAGATACCTGGGAGTTAAACAGCTGCTACGGGCTGCTTCCTGTGGGGGTGTGTAACAAAAAGGAGGCCCTGGTTGAGAACCGGGCCGCAGGGACACTAAGCTCCGAAATCATCTCAAGATCTCAAGATATGGCTGATCGCATTGATACTTATTAAAATACTGTGCTGAACAATTTACCTGAGGGGAACTAACACTAGTGACCTCAATGAGGACAGAAAGCCTGCAGTTTGTCATAGGTCCCCCCTTTGGAGGGTAGACAGTTCCATGGGTTTATAACCCTGTAGGTAATAAAGCATTTGTTTTTAGTCCTGCATTGTGGCCTGTAGAGCTTGAAACCATTGCTCCTTGTTTGTATTACATCTGACATATTGAAGAAATTGTTTGGATCAGCATCCTCCAAATTGTTAAGTATTTTACGGGTTTTGATGAGATTCACCCTGTCATGTCTGGTTTGCAGTGTTATTAGCCATGAGGCCCCTCAACTGTTCCCTGATACAGAAGTTGACTTAGTTCTGGAATTATTTTTTGTCACCTGGTGTTCTACTTTCTTCAAAGGAGCTATGTCCTTCTGAACATGGCCTCCATGCTTGGATACAATAATACAAGTGGGGGCAAACCAAAGATTTATTCAATTGAATCACCATGGTCTTTTCCTTAAAGTCAAATGTAATTTGATTATTCCTAGTGTTTGGTTAGTTTTTTTTACTGCTGCTCCTACCAGTTGTGCAACTTTCAGTGAATGGTGAACTTTTACTCCAAGGTCCTTTTCTTCATCAATCTGCTGCAGGGTATTATTATTTTGGCAACTATGATGTGGGCTGTTATGCTGCACTTGTAAAGTCTTGTATTTTTCCATATTAAAAAGCATTTGCCAGTCTTCTGAACATTTGCAGAGCTTAGGTAGATATCTTTGTAAGGCTTCAATATTTTCATTTTCCCACTTTCCCATAGATCTTAATGTTATCTGCAAATCTGATGACGTGGTTTGTAATACAGTATTCTCATCTATGTCATTGATGTATATGACAAAAAAGGATTGGCCCCAAAATGGACCACTGAGGTACCCTTATCACCACATTTCTCCAGTCAGATTCATTTCCATTTAGCATGACTCTCTGCTTTATTTGTTTAAACATTGTTTCTTCCATTCTAATATTTTACCATTTATTCCATGTGCCTGTAATTTCCTTGCAAGTCTTTCACCATATCAAAAGCTTCAGCAAAATCCATGTATACTACATCCACCAGAAGTCCTTTTTCCGAGTACTGTAGCTGGTTTTTGTTTCCAAAAATGTGAGCAGGTTTGTAAGGCAAGATCTATTTTTAACAAAGCCACGTCTCGTCAGTTTTATAAGATTGTTTGATGTGAGGTAGTGAATGATTCCTTCCCTTAGGATTCTCTTCATCAGTTTTCTGATATGTGATATCAAGCTGATTAAACAGTAGTTTTTTGCTGAGCTCTTTCTGTTTTTTTTTTATTTTTTAAATAAGGGTGACATTTGCATATTTTCAGTCTATGGGAACTATCCCTTGGTCCAGAAATTTTCTGAAAAGTGGTTTCAGAGGTAGGCATAGTTTCCCCTGCAAGTTCCTTTTTGACTTTGCATTGAATCCCACCCACACCTAGAGCTTTGAAGTGTTTTAGTTGTCAATGCTCTTCTTGATTATGTCCCACATTATAGGTATATCCCTTAATTCATTCTCTTTACCTCCATCACATTTGTGTAGGCGATGAGATATCATCTAATTTTTCTAGTGCGAACACTGATGTATTCATTTAGAGTGTTTGCTACCCTTATATAGTCCATTATAACTTGGTTAGGCCCATCCTTTAAGGATCTTACCAAGTCCTTTGTTTTGGTTTTACTTCTTATATAGGCAGAGAACAACTTAGGATCTTTCTTTATGTTTTGGGCAAGTTTTCTTTTATAGTTTCTTTAGGCTAATCTGATTTCCTGGGTGGTCGAGTTTAGTACCCTTTTATATCTCTCATAATCAATGATGTTCATCGTGGATTTATACCTTCTCCAGAGGGTCTGCCTGGTTATCAAAGCTCTTTTTACTACCTGTGTCATCCATCCAGTTACCTTTTTTTTCTTCCTCCTTTTCGGCACATATTTTTGAATGACTTAAGCGTTGATCTTCTTGTAAGATTTCAAGGACAATGATCCAGACCACTGCTTTAAAAGGCCAGATGTTTCACAAACAAGGAGCAATAGCTTCAAGCTTAACAAGCCACAATGTAGAACGAAAAACAGGAGATGCTATTTCACGCATAGGAATAAAAAACCTCGGAACTGCTTACCTGCCGAGGCCGTAAATGCCAAAACACTGAAGGAATTAAAAAGTCAGTCGGATAAAATAATTAGGACAAATGGGGGACCTTTGATAAAACTGCCAGCTTCCTGCCCTTGTTAAGGCCACTTGTGAGATGGTGGCCCCCTCATGTAAATTCCAAGAGAAATAGAGTAACTCCTAGGTAACTCTACAGACCTGTCCCTCCTGTTATGTATTGCAACTAACCAAACTATACAACTCATATTAGACATTTACGATTAGAAATATTTAAATGCCAATGTAACAGCCTCAATGTTTACACAAGTTACACAAACTTCCATCCATTACCAGAAATACAGCGGAGAAGTGGCCCAGTTACATAGACCTGTACAGCAACTGACACACCTCTTACCTCCATCTATGGCGGGAGGGAGGGATCTGAGCCATGAAATAGTCCTGCAGGCAAGCTGACAAGGCTAATAGACGGGCAGAGCTTTGGGAACTGCGCGAGAGCCTCTTGTTGTGTTTTGGACGCTCTGGCGTTGACGTCCGGACCAAGCCCATGACGGCCTCGAATATCAACACAATGTTTCCAATTGTTGACAATAATTAAATATAAATCCCGCGTGTTAACAGTAATTAAACTTAGCTAAATAGTCATAAATAAATATAAAATCAAGCGTAATTTAAATTATTTAATGCTTATTGGTAGAATATTATGTTAACATTTAATCCGTAAATGCTGCTGCTATGGATTTGTGTGACATCCGGCCGAGATTGCTCCCCTTCAATACAAATTTAAACTAATAATAGTGTTCGTGTTTTCAGAAAAAAAAAGAATGAATAAGTCACTTTATTGAAATTAAAAACATCAAATTGCTCATATAAATATTATTTTAAATGTTGTAACGAAGAAAACAATTGTATAAATTCGGTCAGTTGTTTGTTTACATTGGAATTAGTTCTTACGTAGCATCTGGATTTAAAACCGGATTTGCAAGACCGAAATAAACTTTTATTTTTTTATTTATATATACAAGAGTTCTTACATTATTGTACAGCCACTAGCACGCATAGCGTTTCCGGTAAGTCCTTAGTCCTATATTACCCGGAATACGACCCGCCAAATCGTTTAACAACCGCCCATTTTACTGTTAATAGAGAATTAACAGTTAAGGATTGACGCCCAGTAAATCCTCCCCGGCTAGGATACGAACCCAGGACAAAGCGCTCGCGAAACGCCAGGCGAATGTCTTACCACTACACCACGGGGACTACACAATGAAATGACATGATATATAATAATTAATTATAATTATTATATATCACGTTATTTCACTGTGTATTATTTATTAGTTTTGCAAATCCTGTAATATCTCTTCGGTAATAAAAATAATATGAGAAAATTATTGGAGCAAGGGAACTAGATCGATTTTTTTTAAATAAACAAGTTTAAGTATATACAGCAATGTGCTGCTACCCTATTCTAAATAAAAGATTACACAATGTAGATAAAAAACTAGCTATAACTTCATCGAATATTCCCATCTCACAGGATGGTTAGTCATACATGGAATCAGGAGAGAAAATAACTGCCTCAATACAAAAAAAGCAAATAAACTCTGACTAAACAACAACTTCACGATATTCATGAGAGTTAAGCACTGAATCATGGAAAAATTATAATTACTCTTACCAGTTTCTACAAGACTCCTCTCAATCATTGTCTTTTCTCTTTTTAACAAGCTTAGGTATACACAGCAATGTACTGCTTCCCTATTCTGTATGAAGGACCACACAGTGTAGATCAAAAACCAGCTATAAGCTCATCCAACATCCCCACCTCACAAGACAGCCAGTCATACATGGAAAATGGAGTACCGCAAGGTTTCGTCCTGGAGCCAACCGTTTGTCATATACATCATATATATCACTGAAAACTCACACCCCAGAAGTGACTCGAACCCATACTGCCAGGAGCAACGCTACTGGTATCTACAGGACGCCTTAATCCGCTTGACCATCACGACCGGACAAATAGGAAGCTGAATAGCTGAAGCTATTTGAACCACTTCCCCGCTGGCACTCGGATGGTAATGTAACAGTTCTTTTGTTACGTAAAGTATGGTGACAAATAAACACAGACACTAAGATACTATATATATATTTGGTCGAATATACAGAAGTACACAGGTGATACTTTGGTGTGAGTTGAGCGCACTGAGCGTTGGTACAGTATCTCGCAAGTGTCTGCTCTAGACCACACTTGAAAGTAGACTAGTTAATGTTTGCTATTCTGCTGCTTATATGCTCGGGCAACACCTCACCGTGTTGCCCGGGCAACGCCTCACCTCATTCATCTCCAAAGGTTGACAGGAATATTAACAATGCATTTGGAGCGAGTATATTATTGGGATAATCTACTCGCTACAGTAATCTTAGGCATAGCATTTTATCAAATCACCTCATTCTTTGGGGCACACATGAGGAACACAAATGCGAACAAGCCTGAATGGTCCCCAGGACTATATGCGACTGAAAACTCAGTCACATATAGTCCTGGGGACCATTCAGGCTTGTTCGCATCAAATATATATATAAATGAATTATACACATAAATGCCAGATGAGAATATTACAAACCACATTATCAAGTTTGCAGATGATACTGAGATCTGCGGTAAAGTGGAAAGCGAAAACGATATTGAGGCCTTACCATGACATGCCAAGACTCTGTTAACTTTTAAAGTGCAGCTGGAAAAGATCATCAAGGCAAATGGGGGGGGGACCATCGACAAGTCGCCGGCTTCCTGTCCTCATCGAGGCCACTAGTGTTAGTGGCACTCAGGTAAACTCATTTACATGAACTCACAAATGGTCAGAAGACTGGCAAAATACTTTTTAATATTAAAAATGCAGACCTTGCATGTAAGGTACATTTAACAACGTACATCACAACTATCAAATCAACAACACAGATGCAACAACAATGCAG